AGGCAGGGAACGGGAATGGCCGCAGGGTCCTTCCGCGCAGGTCTAGCCCCTGCTCTCTGCGGCCTTAGGAGCCTTTTCCCCCACCTATTCCTCCTATTCAGTGGAAGTTTAAACTAGAAATACAGGCTGGAGAATTTCCTCAGAACACCTGATCCCACAGTTAAGCTTTCCCCTGTATCTATGCCCCTCTCAGCAGTGTTTTACCAGACAGGGAAATTCCATGAGAGGGGAGAGGTGCTGTTAAGTTTTCAGGGCAGCAGTTTGCTTACCATGAATTAACTGCAGCCAACCTCAGCTCCACACCACAGCATGTCCTTGGGGGCCCCTTTGCCTCTGGGTTGAGCCACAGCCCCAACAGCCCAACAAGATGGTTCAGCTACAATTTTTCCATCCAGAACCCAAGCAAAAAACAAACATATTTGAGAAGACATCCATGTTGCAGCTATTTTCTAACCAGCTCCTGCAACCACCCTGCAAAGAGAATCTTCAAACAGAGGGTTTAGGCTAAGAGAATTTAAACTTCAGCTAAACATTCCCACAGATTTTCACTACTTCCTCTTCAGCTCAAAGGAGTGAACCCATAATAAAAACTCTAGTGAACCCGTAAGTAAAACTCCAAGCTGGCATATCCTCAAAAAAGGAGGACAGCTTTTGAAATTACACAGATCAGAGTATATTCAATATATTAAAAAAAAAAACATGCAAATCATGCCTGTGCAGGGTCAGATATTGCAGAGCACTTCCACATGGAAAACTTGTTTCAATTTATTCACACTTTGATCAGTGAAAGGACAGACCTCGTAATTAGGAACAGTGGTACCTCTCTTTATTAGTACAGACAATAGAAGATGCATATTTTTTCGCAATGAAAAATCATGTCCAGCTTTAAAAAACCTGGTTAATGAAACAGCCCTGAATGTCTGCCTTGGACAGAGGGGCAAACTTCACAGTGTCACTTGATAGTACAGGGAAGAGCACATCATGGCATGTTTTGTGAGACTCCCTGCTGACATTATCAGACAAGAATTGCAATAATTAAAGAGGATGTTTAATTAACTGGAGAACACTTTCAAGTATTCAAGCACTTAGTTTTTGGTTCTGTAAAACCATCTGCTTTTCCCTGTTCCCCTCTCATTCCCAAAGAGGCAATAGCCCATGGGTAAAATGACTTCAGAAGCTTCTGCAAGACAGCTCCAGTTCTTGCAATACAGAAACACCTTTCTGGAAGCAAGACTGATTTTTGTTATTGCAACAGACAGTAGTAGGAATAATTTTATGTCTGTGAATTTTACAAATACTTTAAAAAAGTAATAAATTATTACAAGAGAAGCTTGAAGAAAGTTTTACATTGTTTATGGGAGTAGACGATCAAAGACGACAGTCTCACCACTGCAATAAGCTCCTCTGAGAAACAGGGAGTGCAGCCTAAACCATTTTGTTCGCAGGCTGGCTGACTGCCAGCAGGCAGCTTCTGCACCTTAATCCTAGTTAGACCTTGTGAACTCGTATCAGCAAAATGCCATTTCATGTATCTCAGCAATTTAGCAGCAATCGGGTAATTTACTGCGATGTCTAGGAAGCATCTGAGGCAGCCACAAGTTCAAACCACTGCCTGAGTGCGTCGCTGAGCGTCTCCGGGAGAGCATTCACATCTCTAAGGATCATGTAGAAGGGGAATGGGAATTCTTCCATGTAAGATCTGATTTCAGGCAATTCTCCAGGTCCTTTGAATATAGGAACTTTAATGTCCAAGATGGAATCCTGTTAAAAAAAAATAATAATAAAAATGCTGGGCCTACTAAATTACAGGCATCCCTTAGTGGCCTTTGGTATCATTTATTTATTTATTTTTTAAATCAAATACTTTGAAATTCCTCCTTTGTTAAAGAGGGTTAATACAGAGGTTTAAGATTAAAAACATGCTGGTTCCATTGCAGGTCAAATCAGATACCAAAAGCTGAACACAAAGCTGTTAAATGCTTTTGTCCTTCTAACTAAAAGTGCTCTAAACAGAGAGCTATAGACTAGAAGACACCAAACTTAAGCTTTTACAATATGCAGTTCTATAAATGAATTCTATCTTAGCTTAGTATAGTATGATTTGCGTTTACTGCTATTATTTTACCGTAATACATTTGATGTCTTTTGCTGACACCTCCTGTCATCTATAAAACCTCTTCAGGGCTCAAAGGTTAACTTAGGTTTGTGCAGTGACTGAACACAATAAGGTTCATTATCAAATTATTTTATAGTATTTCATCAAATACTACAAATGACAAAAGCAGATTTAACCCAAACTGTATTTCTAGTAAACTTCATAATTCACCAGTGTAGCACTTCAAAAAAAACCCTGGTGAAAAGTGCATTTCACTACTCAGAATTTTAACTTGACATCATAGCTAGATTTAATCGGAACTTTAAGTTCTCTAGGTGACAAGCTACTAAATTTTCAACAATAAAAATTCAGTACCATGCAGTTAAGTTTTCTTCTGGAAAATAAATAATAAAATATGACCAGGCTTTACCAGGCTGAGCACACTGGGAGTAAAGCTCGGGTTTGCCTGCTGACTGCACTGCGAGCGCTGAAAAGCTCCAGATAGTTCAGCTCTGTAACCTGACCCGGGCTCTTTTCCAACTGCCAAATACCCCATCCAGCTTCCCCAATTCAGACACAACAGTCTCAGATGGGCCCTTGTGTCTGATGCTTAATCTCGTATCAGCTCCAGCTGCCTGGTCAAACACAGCCTGCTGCCAGCAGAGATCCTTTAGAACCAAAATTGAGAAGGGACAAAGGAGCTCTCAAACTTTCAGCTTGTCACCCTGCCAGCTGCTTCTCTGGTGGCCAAATCTACAATCATTACGTTGGAAGAAAGGAGTTCCCATTCAGGATATTTGTAGCACGGAGGCTGATTCTTTTTTTCACCACAAAAGGGGATAAGCATCAAAGCAGGGAGGAAATGCAGAAGATCTGACATTATGGAAAATCTGAAATCGGGCTAAATATCTTTGACCTCTGCAAGAGCTACAAAACAGCTGCCAAGCACCACGAGGACAAGGAAAAGATTGGTATCAGTTCCCATTTGTTGCACCCGAGCACTTTTCCGTTGTTCACTCACCCGGGAATTGGGATTGTCCAACACCACGAAGATGACGAAGACGTTGGCGTTCTGCGCGGCACGCACGGCTGCCGTCACCCGCTCCTTGCCTTCCAGGAAGAGGCCTCTTCCATCAGACACGATCAAGAGCAGTTGAGCTGTTTCTAAGCACAAAGAGCATTTTTAATTCCAGAAAGTTGGTAATCAATTTCAAAAGGGAATAATTTATTGTAAATCCTGAAGGTATTATGTAAAAACCTGCGGAGTTTTCAGAGGAAGCAGAGTCTTGGTCAAACAGAATTCTGTGACTTAATATTGCAACTATCAAGGAAAATAATAGTTTCCACTGTGTGGAATGACTGAAGACAACCCAAGGGGCAAAAAAAAGTCCGTCAGTCCCATGGAAGGCATGGAAAATAACGAAGCATTTGTGTCAGGGCCTTGTCCTTGCCACGGAGCAACCCTGGAGCGCACAAAACGAGTGCTTCAGGATAAAGCTAAGCTGGCAGGCAGAGGCACGTGGAAGGCAGCCCAACCACCTAGGGGCACTTGGGGGCCTTGGGCCAGAGCTGCTGTGGCACGGCCAGCACACACGCTGGGCCCCCGACACCAACCATTTTGCTGCCAACACTCTGCCACAAGGCAGGGGCTGGTGTTTTGAGGAGGGGCCTTGTCCCCTCCTGCCTGCTCTCTCCGGGCTCGTTCCTGCCCCTGATCCCACCCAGCAGGAGGAGAGGACACGTCCTGCCGCCTGGGCACCTGCCTGCAGAGCAGCAGCAGCGGATCCCCGCGTTGCCTGCTCCTGCCGTGCTTTAACTGCAAGGCTGCTGTTGAAAATACCACCATGACAACGGCGGCCGCCTGCGACGCCCCGGCCCAGCTCCAGGCACGCGCGGGGCCAGGAGGAGCGCGCGAGGCAGCTGCTCTCTCTCAAAAAGCACTGAAGAGAAGTTCAGTGAACTGCTGATAGACATAGAGGTCTCCTGGGCTTTGAGCGAAATTTCACACAAATGTTCCTTTTGAGAAAGCAACCCCCAAAGCCTAAGGCAAGGGAGAGCTCAGTGGAAGGCGTCTTTCAGGCAAGATGCTGCTTTGGGACCCCGGCAGTAACTCAGCTGCCCCAGCACCGTGGGTATCAGTGAAAAGCAGCTTACCTGGGTTAATACTTTGAGACAACTGCTGTGCGGCAGCAAACATATTTGCTGAAGACTCCAGAAACTGCAGAGGAAGGAAGCAAGGAAGTCAGATAAATTTATTATCGAATAAACATAATAATTGTAGTATTTTAAAATACAGAAGTGCATTCTTTATAATGCCGAGACAGTCTAGTGTGACCACTTACTCAGATACAAATCTTTGTACTTTTCTGCATTAACTCCTACCTCAATTTTAAATAACTATTTCTGAACCACACAATCTTCAAAGAAGCCTTCAGTCTGGATTTCAAGTTTTCCAGTGCTGATGAAGCCACCAAAACCTTGGTAAACTCTTCAAATCTTTAACCTCACTGTTAAAAACAGCATCCTATGCCTAGGCTGAGCTTTTTGGCTTGCACTTGCAACCAAGGTATTTAGTTATATTTTTATCATTTCAGTTAAGGAGACGTAAATTTTCAACTGCTCCCTATTTTAGCATTCATGTGATCACAGTCAGGCTCCTTGGGCCTCCCACTTCTACGTT